TCAATAGCTATTTATTTCCTAGGGAAGCCATTCCTGAGCCACTCGACAATACAACCTCCTCCCCTCCATTACACATTACACACACACACACACACACACACACACACACACTCAGCACCACCTACTTTTCCTTCATAGTACTTATTAGATTTGCTATTGTGAATTTGTTCATATAATAACTTGTATAATGCCTTACCCTCCCAACTAGTCTAAAAACTCTAAGGACAGAAACTATGCCTGTTTGGTTCATCATTATATACCCTTTGTGCCTGAGTAGTACCTGGCAGGTAGTAGATATTTAATAACTCTCTGACAAATGAGTGCCATCTGCAGTAGACACTAATAAGATGGATGTCTTTTTTCCTTTTTAATCTAAGGCTACACAAACCAAAATTGCAATAAATTGAAATCGAGGGGAAGAAAGGGGAAATTAGGTTGGATATTTCTCTTCAAATAAAAGGAAGACAAATTAGCCCAAAGTTACTAATACACTTATTTCCTGTTAAGTCTACAGAAATGGCTTGCACACAAATCACATTTCCCCAAATAACGGAAAGCAATTCAATAAGCTCTTACCTAAATGTCCTGAGCCTGCTCCCGGGTTGGTAAATAACATACTTCGTTTCTCAAGTGAAAAAACAGTCCCAGATATTCAAAACTCCTCAAACTTAGGAAGGGAAGAAATTTGGGATAAAAACCAATTAGTTTGTAAAATTGGTTTATTTACAACTTGGTGTTTTAAAGTTATATTTGGAATTTTAAGTTTTATATATTTCCCTGGAAGGCATTTCTGTTTTCTTAAATATGGAGGCAAAGGATAGGACACCTGAGTAAGTCTGAATTTAAGAGATTTACCTGCTGCTACCGTCAGTAAAATTTAATGTTTAATCCCTGAGAATTAGTAAAGAGCCAAGAAAATGTTTACCCATTCAAATGTAAAAGGCATATTGTAAGAACAGAAATAAAGCTACTATAATGACCTCCCCACATATGGCAATATAAAAAGTCCCTCTTTCACAAATAAACCGAAGGGGTGAGTGCATATGCCTTTTAGCTATAAGGTGCACTTACAGAGACTAAGATGGACTACTCCGGTTTTTGGTAGTCACCCACCTCCCTTAACAAATATTCCTGGACACGGATACACAACTCACTCAAATAATGGTAATGCCCACTGCTAGCTCAATGGGCCCTCTTTCTAAATGTGTGTGTACTTGTGCTGTTAGCGATTCTCCTTCACTGCCCCAAGACCAAAACTCTTTATCTGACTGCAATACGAAGCCCGAACTGTTTTGGCAAAGTCACTTTGGAGCAAGTCCCTTTAGTATCCTCCAATATCAAGTGAGGATAATTATAGCTCATAGGGATGTATAAGGCGGCATTGATGTACACCACCATGGGACCCGCAAAGCTTTCTCCATATCGAGCAATGCTCTGGAACCGGTGATTTCTGTAACACTCCTGCTGCTTGTTACTATAGATGACTAAATGCCCTAAATGTCAGCTTCCTTCAGGAGTAAATAGTAATTCATTAGTTTGCACATTAAACTTCCTGAGATGAAAAGAAATGGCAATTATGCCTCTTCCCCCATATATTAAGTGTAGCACAGATAGTATGTAACTACAGCAAAACAGAAGAAACCAAAGAATTTGCAGTAAGATGCAATTAATATATATATATATATATATATATATATATATATATATATATATATATGCGGTTGTTTTTCATTGTGGGCAGTGTTAAGTATCACTAATGACAAATGTATATTTGTCTAATTGGCCCAAAGGAAATGCAGTGCAATTCAAACTTAAAAAAAAAACACAACAGGAATACAAAGCCACAAATACCCTTTCTCCCAATGTCTCTTCATGCTTTCCATCCAAAACAGAAAATAATCAAGGGAACTTCCCTCTCTCTAAAAGACCAATCCATTAATGCCAGCCACGACCATTGGCGAGTACCAGTTTAAAGGCAACCTTTAAGCTCCAAGAATATTTATTGGTATCATTGTTGACTCCCAAAGGGAAAAGATTACAGAAATTAAATTTAAGAAAGCTTTGGGGGGGGGGAAAGAGAGGAGAGAGAGAGAATGTGTGGGAACTATTACCAGATCTGGGGAAAGTCAGATCTGGACAATCAACTTTAGGTTGCTGCTTTAAGTACCAAGTTTCAATGTTATACCTTATGTGCATTTCTTAAAACTTTGTTTCTTTATGCATAGTTTCTTAGTTTTTTGGTTGGTTGGTTGGTTGGTATTTTTTCACAGGACAAGAACTCTTAAGTAACAAGAGAAGCAAGAATGGAAGTCTGTGGCCTAGGCTAAGAGACTATGTGTGGGTTTGAGAATTCCCACGTCCGCTGCAGGAAGCCACACTAAGTCATCCTCTGGCTGTTGGTGGCTGGGGGGTGTAAATAAAAATGTGAGGTAGTTCTTGACACAAGAGGGAAATATTTGTCTATATAATACCCTTGCAATGTCTGACAAATTACTAGAGCATCTGCTTGCTGTCATCTATCTGTAAGTAAACTCTAAGCTTGGTATTAACTGAACTTGACAAATTATGAGCTAGTTGCAGTTCACAGGCCTTGTTTTTTGATCCAGCCGTGATAGACGGAGACACTAAAACCCCCAGAAATGTGAACCATAGAGACCACCAAGAACTGCAGCAGCATAAGCATTCGAAAGCATATGGGAGAGCTAGGAAGAGCATATAATTCACCAGAACTGTGCATAAAAAGAAGAGTGAAGGCTGTGGGGATTAACTTACAGACTCTGCTCCCAGTTTAACTGTCACCTTGAAGGTTTAAAAAAAGATCTGAAGCTCTAGTATAATAGAGAATGTGACAGAGGCTAAAGGAAAATTAACATAGGATAAAGGGATAGAATATTCAGAGAAAAGCGAGAGCTGTCCAGCAAGAGTTGCCCAGGACAACACTTAGTCCCTCCCACCGGGGAGTGTTGGGAGTGTGCACGTTAACAACGAATAAGAAATCCATTGTTGCCGAAAATATTTGCCTCCTCTACTTTCTTTAGGCTGCTGGACCAAGGATACCAGAAATAGATCAGAAGTAAAATTATAGTTAGAAAAGGGGAGAAGTAAGGTATGACATTAAAATTTTATTCTGAAATTATCTCTGGCCACGACAATAAAATTTAACAAATAGTCACTGAACAGTCTTACTCCTGTCATCAGCTGTACAATACATACAGTATCATAGAACTGGCCACTAGGATTAAAATCCACTAGAACATATTTCATGTTAAGTGGCGACAGCAGCATCTCACAGAAAATGTTTACATACATATATACACAGTCCACATTCAACCGTTTTCACATATTTTCAGTACACACAGTTGCAGCATATTACAGTCACGTGTCTAAAGTTGTTGCTCGATGAAAACCCAAGCCCCTGCCTAGACAGAACTGTAGCAGTTGAGCTGAGTATAATCACAATTAACTTTATATATGTCCATAGCAGGTAGATGCACAGCCCCTAAACAAGAGTTCACAAATACTGTTGTTGTTGTGTGTGTGTGTATGTGTTTTAAATGCTTCCACAGCATTGTTGGGCAATATTAAAACCTTTACCAACTCAGATTTTTTTTTGTTTTTTTTTTAAACATCTTCTGCTTACCAGAAATATTCTTGATGAAAAAAAAATTACAAAAACGAATGCTCTCTTTTAAAATAATTCGCACTTTTTTAAGATTCCAATATGGCCCAATGCTACCGATGCCTAAAGTGTTCCTAACACTCTGGTGGAGTCCTTGAACCTGACTCCAAACCACCCATTAAGTGTAAAAGTGGCTTAAGTGCCTTGCACCCAAATTGTAAAAATCCCTGGCCATCCTCACTAGAGCCAGGCACATAGAAAAGGAATGCACTTTGGTTCATACCAAATGCCCTGGGATTAGTCACACTAGAAAAATCAAATGGGTTTGAGGTAAATTTTTACAAAGAGTCGATTTTTTTTTTTTTTTGTCTAGTGTTAGCATAACAACAAAAAAGTATCATTTAAAAAAATTCAGTCTGATGTTAAGATCCAACAAAGGCCATCTATACCTAACCCTTACACATAGGAATCCCCGTGTAACTAAGCAGTGGTTACATTCCTCAGTGCCTGGTGATGCTTCCCGCCTTATGGTTTCTATTAAGGCCTAGAAGTAGCTGGGTATTTAAGACAGATGTATCTTTGCAGAGGTGGGTTCCATCCTTCCTGCCCAGTACTCAAAGAGTTAAAAAAGAGGCCAAAAAAAAAATATGCATGCCTTACAACATGGCATTCAGAACAAAAGGCACATTGTTAAGACTAAGGGCACGATTTCTCCTCTATGTTCATTAACCTACACTGTCTCGCATCACGGTCGTTCCATTGTTATAGCAACTCACGTGCGTGGGGATGCCCACCCTGCTGGTGCAAGAAGCGGAGCCAGATGAGGCTGCAACCAAAGACAAGAGGACACACGGGGCTATTCCTAAATCTGAAAACAGCTCTGGCATCCCTAGACAATGGTAGACCAAGGGCTGTTTCCAAGCCAACTCCTAGGAGCCTAAGGAGAGAGCCCTTCGGTTATTAATGTGTTAAAATTGCGAAGATGCAACGTTTTCCTCTTTTTTGACATTATAATTAAACTAGACGTTTTGAAACATGGCTCTATCACTAAACACTGAACAGGGTGGCTCTTGTGAATAAATTTCATTATATTGTGGGGGTGGGGGGTGGGGTCAGGGAGAGCCCCATAGCGCTGCACATTCTAGTTTGGCTTAAAAGTTTCCGGTTACATTTGCGAATAAAGGAAGTCACAATGTTGACATGTTCGAAACCAGTTTTGTGTGGTGGGGGGAGACAAACAATATTATGACTTTTCACATGAATAATCATTTTAAGAGAAATTCGTATGAACGGCAGGCTCAGGTTCATAGACATCACTAAACGTGGAGCTGAGACTGGACTCGGAGAGGAGCGTTGCAACAGGAAAACAGCCTCTATGTTCTTATTTCAACGACCTAAAGAAGCTAACCATCACCAAGAGGCTTGTGGTGTTCACAAAGCCATCACACCAAGTCTGACTCTTCTTATGCCTTTTAGCTGAAACTTTAATAATAAATACATAATCCTTAAACTTTTGTAAGCCACTGATTGGGAGCATCAGCACATTAGCATCAGTTAGAATGCAAATTACTAACACACTGCGCTTCCACAGATTACACAGAAATGTGAACAACATGGTAAAGAATTTGACTAGGGGGAAGAAGCTGTAATTTTTAAATACAGAAGTACAAGTTAATTTATCAGCAACACCCTTAAATAGTAAAGCAAACATCAACATCATTATCTTATTAATAAGCTAATCTTATTACTGGTTTGTGTTTTGTGTGTGTGTGTTTTTTTTTTTGTTTTTTTTTGGCAAATATTCGTAGTATTTCCTGAGCATTTTTCTCCACCATCAACTGACAAAGCCTCAAAATAAGAAAAGTGTTTTATTCAAAACTACTTTTTTTTTTTTTTAAGTAAGAGAAACTCTAGGATTAATATAAAAAAAAAAAATTAACCGGAAACTTTCTTGGCCTCAATGGGGACCATGCTTTAAGTACTTATAAACCAATTTACAGGCAATACAATAATATCTGTGCATATAAAAGAGTATTTACCTTAATTTTTACTACCCAAACCTATTTCCAAACAGGCAGACATTTTCCTATATTTAATTGCACATACTAAGAATTTCTCACGTGCCTTGCAATTGATATCTATATCACTGCTCATACATTAGTGATAAAATACTGAAATTTCCACTGTGAAAATAATTATTCAGAGAAGAAAATATTCTTTTATTTTTAACTCTTGTTACTTTTCCAGGTAAAGTGTCATTCTCACAAACACAATCAGTGCAATCCAAGCGAAAGGAAAATGAAAGGGAGATTGCAACCTCTGGTTCTCCGTAAGAATGGTTTGATTCAAAGACTACATCAAACCATTTAACTTGAGGTCAAACTTTTCCTCCTTTAAATTTTTTGTTCAAATTGGCCTTGCAGAACAGCCACAATGACTTCTGTTCAAAAGGATTTTAAGCCTCCCTCCCTCCTTTTTTTAAATTTTTTTTTAAGAAAGAACTGATCCTTTCCCAGGCTAAGAGAACCCTACAGTGGCACTTGGCAAGTAGGAACTCATGCTAATCTGTTAAACCTTCTCTGGAACTGTGGAAATCCCCATCTTACGCAGCTAGGCTGCTGTTCTTTCTTATATTGGAATCATAGCTGAAATGTCTCTTTTCTGTATGAACAGTCAGGGATATCTACTTGAAGGGAGGGAAGGAAGAAAAAAAAAAGAACTAAATGCAAACCACAGATGTGTGGTAAGAGAGTAACAGGAGAAAAGCACAGAGAGGGGAGGAACAGTTCATGGAACACATTTCTAATTTTAGGTGCAAGACCAACTCTGTAATGTGAGGCTTCTTTACAAAACAGCTTGCTGACCCTATTAGATTTAGAGGAACACACTTTTCCACCGTTTATCCACCAGGCCTGGTTGGCCAGCTCTGAGACCGTCAGAATGCTAACTCGTCAGGTAAACCTTGGGAATTTCATTGCTTGTGAGCATGATTTACTTCAGGGGGGGAAAAATCTCTAAGGTGCAATATTTCTTAGAACATCGTTTTCATCCTGACCTTTCCCCTCCTTCCATAATTACCACCCAGATAACCTCCGGGAAACAGAGGCAGGACATGCTACACCTGTGCAGGAGTCTTGAGCTTGGAAAGAGAAGGGGGTCTTTGGGGACAGTCACCTGGAGGAGAAGATACTAGGAACCATAAAAACATAGTGAATGTCTCTGACACCAATCTGTAGATGCATGGCAGTCATGAAGGGATCAATGGCCTGCCACTGATGTTTATTACTCTGCCACACCAAATACAGTAAGGCTCATTGTACTTTTAGAACACACACACACATACACACACACACACACACACACACACACACAGAGGGGAAAAAAAAACAGCTTCAGAAAGTGTAAAAACTTAAAGCATTGTCCCCATGTATTTTATAAAAACAAAACAAATGACTTTCTTACATTAAAATAAGTGCTGAAGAGATACAAATGAGTCGAGTTATTGAGCAAATAAAAACGGGTCTGAGCTACTCCTTTGCAACCCAATAAGGCTCAGCCGCATTGTATCTTTCAGATTACCAGCATGGGGGGGAGGGGAACTCAGCTCAGCTAACAAGTTTTGGCAAGACTGTCCTCTGCTGAATATTCCCGTTGGCATCTGTCATCTGTGCCAAATTAGTCCTCAGTTTGGAAGCGGAGCTGGAAGGTGGAGGTAACTTGGAAATGGAAGTGATAGCACCAGTGGTCTCAGTTATCCTTTTCACCGCCGTCTTCTCCCCGGAGGGAGGCTTTGGCAGCCGCCTCCTCAGCCAGGGGTGCCGCAACGCCTGGCCGGGGGTCATGCGGACCACAGGATCCCATTCTAAACACTGTTTCAAGAAGTCAAGGAAGAGGGGATCGTCACACCCCTTCAGTGCATTCCCCCACTCTCTGCTCTCCGGCGGGCCCCTCAGTTTCCCCCTCCGGGAGCGGCCTCCGTTGAGGACCACAGAGCCGTCCGAGAGGGTCGTGACAGTGCAGTAGCGGGGGTATCCCTTGGAGCTCACGAAATTTTTGGCTCGTTTAGAAGCATCCAGCAGTTTCTGGGAGGGCATGCCCAACAGTTCGATCATACAGGCCAGCTGGTCCCCTTCGTCCTCCCCAGGCAAGAGGGGGTACCCGGTCAGGAGCTCCGCCAGAATGCAGCCCAGGCTCCACATATCGATGGGCATGCCGTACCTGGCGCCGAGGATCACCTCCGGGGCCCGGTAAAAGCGGGACTGGATGTACGTGTAGACGCGCTGGTGCTCGTAGCAGCTGGAGCCGAAGTCGATCACCTTGATGCCGCTCCTGCCCTGCTGCTTCAGCAGGATGTTCTCGGGCTTCAGGTCACAGTGGATGATCCTGTTTTTGTGCAAAGCGTCCAAGCACTGCAGGATGGAGTGCGCGAACTTGCGCACCAGAGGCAGGCTGAAGCCCTGGAACTTGTTCTTCTTGATAAGCTCGTAGAGGTTCATGCTCAGCAGCTCGAACGTCATGCAGATGTGGTTGCGGAAGGTGAAGTTCTCCAGCATGTGGATGACGTTCATGGTGTTGTCCTTGTCCTGCTTCCGCAGGTGCTCCAGGATGCGGATCTCCTCGGCCGCCTGCCGGTGGAAGCGCTTCTCGTTCCGCACCATCTTCAGGGCCACGTGCTGGTGCACCTTGTGGTCGTAGGCCTTGACCACCTGCCCGAAGCTCCCCTTCCCGATGACCTTGAGGACCTCGTACCTGTAGGCCACGTGGTCGTGGGGCACCTGCACGTAGGAGCCCTGGTCGTCGTCGTAGCCGCCGTTGTTGGACCCGCCCGTCATGCCCTGGCGCTTCTTGGCGTTGGGACCCAGGAAGTAGATCTCGGGGTAGCTGAAGATCTCGTGGTGCTCGAAGGTGGTCAGCTTCTGCATGTACTGCTTCATGGCCTGCTCGGGCGTCAGCGGGGAGGCTTTCACCTTCCCCAGGCCTTCCATGGACTTCAGGGAGGTGGAGCTCCCCTGCCGCCGGTGGATGCTCTCCAGCTGCCGCTCCGGCACCACCGGCAGCCCCGCCTTCCCCACCGCGGCGAGCCCATTTGGCTGCGTCGTGAGCACGGTCCGCTTGTTGCTGTTGTCCTCAAACAGCTGCTGCACCTGGATCTGCCCGTGGCCGTGGCTGCCCACATGGAGGTGATCATTCATCGTGTGCTTACTGCCACCAATCTGGAATGCGGAAAGGAAACATGAATAGCATGGAAGAGGACTGTCTGTTCAAACGGGGTATTCTGTAAGTCAGCCCCCAACCCCCACCTCTACCAAACCCAATTTGGTTGGGATGTACAGTTAGCATCGGGTTTACTAAAGGGCCCCAGAGGGACCTCGGGAACACCCGGACAGGGACAGTGGATACGATGCTGACAACATAGAGGAACTAGAGGTCAGTTGGCTGGGTAAGGCTACAAAACCTTGGGATCCTGACCAAAGGACCCCATACATGCTGCACCTAACAGACGAGCAGCTTGCTGTACATATTGAGGTTCCTTAGAATAATTCCCTGTGGGGGCAGGGAATTATCATTCTTGCCTATCATCCTATACCTAACAGTTCGCACAGGAACTGGCACAACACAGGCATTCCACTCAATCCACCCTTGGTATCGAATGGAAATAGGATACAGAAAAATGCATGAGCATGGAGACTCCCTCCTGGCTCCACCTCCCCCAGATGCTAGCACCTTTCCCACCTCCTCTAAGAGCTCCTGATTACCCCAGGGCAGGGACGTCTGTGTCTTGTCCATTTCTCTTTCTTCATTGTTTAGTTAGCTCTATTCTGAAAACACTGGTATGTTCATTCCGGTCTTCACTTCTTGGAAATCTGATTACACCTAAGAAAATGCACAATCCAGTGGCAAAGAACACCGTACATTCAGGCTTGAGAGGTTACCATGCCGATACACATTGCAAACCCCGAACCTATTTTTAAAAGTTTCTGGGCTCCACTAACTGTGATGACCATTTAAGGCCATTCAGCCCAACAAACCAACTGTTGCAGCTCTTGGGGCCTTCCTTTGGCCAATGGCTCAGCGCTCTAAAGAGCTGCATTTCTCTGGGCTGCTGGGATAGTCAGATTTTCTATTTTCAGGCACACATACCACCCTGAACATTGCTGCCTAAACAAAATAATGGTGTAAGCCAAGGCATCCCCCCTCTTCCACTCCCCAACCTCCACTGAGAATCTACTAGGATTTTTCTTTCTTTTTTCATTATCATTGCAAAAAGGTGAGGGGTGGGAGAGGACTAATAGCCAGGATCCACTCCCAGTTGGGAGTTCCTGACACCTTACACAGCCACCCACACATTTTAAAGCACCCTGCTAGATGGTTTTTACATGAAGTCTTAAGTAAAGTTCAATTTGTCCTTCACAATCCATCTCATTCATCCCACCACCATTCGCTGAGGTCTAGCCACATAAGTGACAGTTCCTACCATCAAGCTTACAATCAACTCGTTCAAGCTTTGCCATCAGTATTTTTTTTCTATTATCTCTTCCTAAGCCCTACCTTTGGGGCTTTATCTACCACTATAAGCACAGAAGTGCTCTGCAAATGTAATATATAACAATGCAGGAAATGGTTTGAAATCACCTAGACTACAAAATGAAATCCCAAGACCTTACTCACAGACTAAGACCTTCTCAGACTAAGACCTTCAAATTTTCTTTCACTGACATATGCCATGCACAGTGACTATCTGAGCAGTGAGCTCTCTCTCTCTCTGCATTCTTCCAAGACAAAGTAGACTATAGCACAGTACTCGGGCATGTGTGATTTCATAGCCCGAGGGGTTTTATTTCTCAGACAGACTTTTTTTTTTTAAAATATATTTTATTGATTTTGTATAGAGAGGAAGGGAGAAAGATAGAGAATTAGAAACATCGATGAGAGAGAGTTATCGATCAGCTGCCTGCCTGCAACCAAGGTACATGCCCTTGACTGGAATCGAACCCGGGACCCCTGAGTCCCCAAGCCGACGCTCTATCCATTGAGCCAAACCGGTCTCGGCATCTCAGACAGACTTTTGAAAGACTTCTAGTTGATCCCTCTCAGTAAATACAGAGATGATATTCCAAGCTAAATGGACTTAACTCTTGTAAGGGTAGCTGGGCAGGTTACTGTTTTTCCGTGTTCTATGCCAAAAGCAAGGAGTCCATAAAAATGAGGAAAGCCTTAGGTATATGCAAAATTAGGACAGGTTTGCTCACTGCTGTTGTTCCTAAGCCTCACTCCCTGCACCTCTCTCCCCACTGTGGTCTTTTGAGCACCAGGGAATAACAGGAGCTGGAATTAGAAATATCAGAACCATTCTCTTTAAGGTAGCAAGGAGCGAGGTCAAAAGAAAACATACATTACCAGCATACATGCTACAAAAGGTGTGAGGTCTCATTAGGGACAAAATTAACCTTGGGGCTTTAGGAATTCCTAAAAAGATGGCCAAGTAAAACATTTGAGCGCCTGAAACCAACATCAGTTTTTGCAATAGCAATTTTAATGTTCTGCATAATTTAAAAAACAATCAGTTTAGTGACTAGTACTAAAGAGAGCTTGCCTGTTATCTTGTTCACTTCCTATCTATCCAACGGACCTCTCTGGGTCTCCTCCACAGCTTCAGCTCACCTACCTAGAGGCGGGTGCAAGGGTTCCACAGGGTTCCTGCCACAACTCCCGTGGCTTCTCCTGGCCGATTGTGACAGCAGCCACCCGGGGGCTGACAACTATCACAGCGACACCTCTAACTCAGACCCACCCAAGCCATGTCTCCTGAGTTCAAGACCCATATGTCCACGCACAGAACAGCAGCCTTTCCCACGGCAACTCAAACTCAACTCGTGATTTTTCTGCCAAAACTATGTCCTCCTTCCCTCACCCTCAATTTCTGATAAACAAAAGGCTTCACCTCCACATCGTCACTCAGGCTCTACACCTGGATGTCCTCGTCCAGGTCTCCATCACCTTCCCAAGTCATCCTAAGCCTCTATCCCACAGTCTCCCCTCACACCCCTGTGGTCTTTCACTGGGACAACTCAAACCGCGTAACTTGACCCCTTGCTTCCAAGTCTAGAGTTCCTCAAATTTCTTCTCTCCATAGTTCTCCTACAGTCACTATACAACAGCGTCACTCTGACACTGCCCATGCCTTCGCTCAAGGCCCGCAACTGCACCCATTTCCACACACAGTACAAGAACTAACAGGCAAGAACACAAAATCCCAAAGCATAGAGCCTTAAGGACCCAAGTCCTTCCACCGTCATCTGCAACTCGCATTATTGTCTCTGAGGGTAACAGAGCCGGATTCGCCAAGACCTGTGCAAGCACCACTGTTTTCTTATGCTCCTCTGCTCTGGGTGAAGTTATTCTCATAATGGTGAGGAGTCCAGGGATTTTCAAGCAGACACATGGGAAATGAGTCCGTTTCACTGCTGATTAACTGTGACCTTGGACAAAGTACCTACTCTCTGAACCACAATGTCCTTATCTGTAAAAAGGAGGTAACAAAGATACCTCAGAAGGGCTATTAGGAGGATAAGGTAGTACTGAGTAAAGGAGAACTATTATTAGCATCATCCTTTCCTTCCTAACCACACCTAAGCGGTAAACTCCTCAACCCTCAATGTCCAGTTCAACGCTCACCTCCTCTGTGAAACTCCCTTTCCCTTCTGCTGTGCTGATAGACTGGAACATACTTCATTTTACTGCGATTCTTTTAACCACCAGATGTACCCACCCAGCTGTGAGCCATTCCAGGGCAGGGTTCCTCTTATCTCTTAAAGTCCCTATTGATAGAAACCCAGACATTCAGGAAGCACTCATAGTCATCTGTTGAATGGAAAAAGGCATGTCAATATGTCTTCGCTAACTCACATCTCTGAATTATTATTGTTTTTTATTCATAGGTCTCTTATTTATATTTATCTATTTTCTTTATTGATTAAGGTATTATATATGTGTCCTCATCCCCCATTGCCTCTCTCACCCCCCACTCATGCCCTCACCCCCTGGTGTCTGTGTCCATTAGTTAGGCTTATATGCATGCACACAAGACCTTTGGTGCTGCGTTATTCTTGAGAAGTACCTTTGTACCTTCCTAAGAAAACATGAAGTAAACGCCCAGGGAATTGCAAACTGTCCCTGATGACCTGCGTCACAAGATGTTAAGCTTGTAGACAACAGGGGAGACCTGGACGCAAATGGCAGCAGTTACAAAGTATCTGTAGCAGAGACATCAACTAAACATGTAAAAGCAACATGTGGCGCCTTAAAAACTTTCTAGGTGTTTGTGAAACTCTTAACATCAAAACCAAATTTGGAAGCACCATTGACTGGTCTGTAAAGAGGGGAGGAGACCCTAGAAAAGCCAAGACATTTCCAGAACACATCACATATGCCAGGACAGCATCATACACTGAAGGATCCTGAAAACTCTCACTCGGCTTCTTCCTGTTTGCCAATGCTTTCCTAGCACAGTGCCCGCCACATTTGAAAATGTACACTGAGAGGACACAATTGTTAGATACCTTCAATGCAAGTGTTAAAATGCAGGGACCTACCACAGCCTTCTCTGACCACGAAACAGACATCAGAAATTAGTTAAGAACAAGAGTCTCACCAGTTTTGTAGTTTTAATCTCTTCCTATGATCAAATGGAAAACAGCAGATATTACACTGTGCTGACATTTCTGGGCACTTAAACACTTCTCTGAAGTCATCTTAGAAATGTTGTATTGTGCTATGGGAATAGAACTGAGTCCAAAAGATTGGAATTTTAGCTCCTCCTCAAACAACTCAAGGTCTGTGGGCCCTGAGTCAAATGTCTACTTCTTCTTCAAGTTATTACTGTTTTGAAAAGCATGTTTAATTCTTCTTCAATTCTAATTACTTCATAAAGGTAAATTAGCACCTTGAAAATGCTTTAAACATTAAGACACTTCTAAAAGTGATACCATACTAATATTTGGGAGTTAAAAAAAAAGCCTAAGTATATTAATATTGTCCACACCACATGAAAAAAAAACAAAAAACACCTAGTAGTTAAAAAAAAATAGTTATTAGATATACTTTCAGTACAGAGATAAACAAAATGACTAAGTGTGCAATAATATAACCATGGAGATAGGAAACACAGAGCAATGGACTAGATAAATTCCAAAGTTCATAATCTTTATAATCATATGTTTATCCATCTACTATGTTATTTACAAGGGAAAATATGGGCAGGCTCCTATGACAAGATTATTTTCCTCTCATTAATGCCCTTTTCCCCCACTCCTTCCATACCTAGCTTTTCCCAGCTGCAATTGCTGTGGAACTAAACACTTACAAAAACTTTAAAAGCCATATGGGAATATAGATCTGCAAAGGTTTCTACATTTATAATGAAATTAATACCATTTCCTAGAATTAGCCGTGTCACGCAGTATATCAATGCTAGACTCAGGAGGGCCTGGCTTGGGCTCCAGCCTTGCTACGGGAATCTTGACCAAACCAGTTAACGTGTCAGTTTCCTCATCTGTAAAGTGAAGGAGTCGGATCACATAAATGACGTGGTCCTCTTATACTTCCCTGTTCTAGGGAAATCTGCCGTGTTGTGCAAATAAAATAAAAATTAAACAACAAAACCCCAAATCACACTTTCAAAGACCAAGCCTCTAATGATCAACAGCCTGCTGAAGTTCACAGGTAAGTTAAAACGAGGTAAATCAGATGCCACAGCAAACACAAGTCCCCCTCCTGAGGAGTCCTAAGAAGCATCCTCACATCTGCTCCTTTTCGGGCAACTACAGGCTACTCCTCCAGCTCTCCCTAATCCCATGACACATTTCAATTGCAAAGAGGCTCTGGTCAAGCAAAGCCAACCCTTATAAAACTGGAATCCTGATGCAAACCAAATATACCCCCCCAAGTCACGTGATTACATCCACACATGGGAAAAATGGATGTTATGTTCTCCCACTTGTCAGGTGATTCCAAATAAGCCCAAACCCTTAAAAACAACAGCAACTCCTCAAGTAAAATGTCACTGGGACAAGAACATGCAATCGTAAGAAACCACCCAGCCTACTGGCAGATTCTCTTCTACCATCAACGGTCCAACACAGACGAGTTCAACTTCTGTGTCTGGATGTGTCGGGAAAGACAAAGGAAGAGAGAAAGGAGTAAGACGAACCACAAAACATTTTCCTGTGAAAGTTGTGCACATCTGTCCGGGTCTCAGAGGACAGACTCCGCTCTGGCCATCCTCCCCTAACAAACAAGTTTCTCCATTAATGCATTACCCTCAGAGCTACTCCTCTGGGGGCCAGACATGGACGCTCCACTTCCACGTGACAGAGCTCCATCCTTGGCAAGCATCCCTCATCCAGAACGACCTGAGGCAGTTCCTCAGGAAGATCCAATGGGAAAGAAGACCTTGGAAACCTCCACCAAGTGCCCACACACCAACCTTCGCCAAGTGCCCACACCACCTCTAGGCTGGCGGGCACCGTCCGTCCAAGGGCCTTGAGCTGAGACCATGCACATGCTGAAGTCAAACCCAGCCGGGCCAGTCACTGCAGCCACCAGTCCCACAGGGCTCTCTCCCCCCTCCCTCTGGCCCTCCGAGGGACCTCAGCATCCATCAGGTGCCCTTGCCCTCCGCTTTCACATATCCATCCGGGAGGCTTGTTGTTCTGACTGCTCCTGCTGGCTCTCATGTTTGTCAATGTTAATTACCATTGCTGCTGTGCTCAAACCTGTAGCACTCATAAAACATGCTTCCACACGCGGAGGGCAAATGAGGGTGCTCCCTGCTGGCTGGAGCCAGGCCTGGGATGAGAGGCTTTTTTTTTTTTTTTTTGGGGGGGGGGGGGGAGATCGATTTTCCGGGCAGGACTGTCTGGCTGTCCCCGAACACAGATCTGTTTCTATAAATATCCACTCTCCGACGTGGGGGAGGAGAGATGTTTACCCGGTCAGGGGAAAAGGAGTTCTGGGAAGAAGCAAGGCCAAAAAAAAAAAAAAAAAAGAAAGAAAGAAAGAAAGAAAAGAGGGAAGAGAAGGCAAGCAGCAAGGAGGGAAGTTCCGAGGCAAAGGAGCGCAGGGGTGGGCGGGCTCCGGAGGGGAAGTGCGGGGCCCACGCCACGCATCTTCCTTTGTGGCTGCAGCTCCTCGGGGCGCGCCCGGGGTCCAGAGGACGGTGTCCAGGGGAGGCCACCGGCCAGGGGCGCACAGACACTGGGGGCACTGGGACCTCTCTCCTCCGGCGTCAGCACCCAACAAGTCCCGGCGTTCCCGCTGCCCCGGCCCCCCCCACTCCCCGCCCTCCCACCCCCCGGCCGCCGCGGGCAGGGGCTCACCGTGTGCGCCGCGGCCGCAGCGTTGCTGGCCCGGAGGGGCGGCAGGGCGATGGGCGAGGGCGGGCCGGTCCCCACTCCGCTCCGGGGGGGCCCCGCTCCGAGCGCCGCGGGGGAAGCCTGCAGCTGGCGGGCGGCGCTGTCCCCTCCTCGGCCTGGGAGCCACGCGCGGGAGGAGACAAAAGAGGGTCAGGGCGGGGGGGAGAGTCACCCGGACCCCGCGGCCCCGCCCCACCCCACCCCTCCTCTGGGCGGCGGAGCCCGCTCTCCCCGGGGGAGGCACGGGGACCGAAAAGCCGGGCGTCCGGGCGCAGGTCCCCGGCGGCGCTCACCCCAGGGCCGGGCTCGGGCGGCTGCAAAGTTAAGTCGGGCCCCGGGGCGCGAGTTCGCGACCCCGCGCCGGGCAAGGCTGGGGCGGTCCACGTTGCAGGCCCGGCGCCGGGGGGAGCGCTGGCCGCGGCGCCTCCGCCTCGCCCACCAAGCCCAGGGGGAGGCCAGGCACCCACGGCGCCCGGCGGGGTGGCAGGGCGCCCCCCTGGAGCGGCCCGGGCCCCGCGCGCAACAATGAGCGGAGCGAGGCCGGCGCCGCCCGCCGGGGAGCCGCCGCCGCGGCGCAGACTTTGTTCGAGGGCCCGGTCCCACGAGGGCCGGCCGGGCCCTGCTTACCGGTCGGGTAGGCGGCGGGAGCGGCGGCCGAAGGTTTCCTGGTTAACATGGCCGCTGGAGGAGAAAATGCATCTCAGGCTGCCGTCCCCGCCGCCGGTCCTGCTGCTACTTCTGGCGGCCGCCGCCGCCGCCTCCGGGCCGCCCTGCCCGCAGCCCGCCAGCGCCGCCTCCGAGCCGCCTGGAGTGCGCTACCGCCGGGCACACGCCGCCCGCCGCATCGCCCCGGCGCCGGCCCGCCGCCGCGAGCGCCCCGCTGTCCTCGCCGCCGCCGTCCTCCTCGTCCCCGGGCGGCCGCGGCACCCGCCGGCCCGTGCACATGCCTCGCCCTCCCAGAGCCGCCGGCCTCCCCGGTTCCCTCACATGGGGCGCGGGGCGGGGGGGGTGGGGAACCGGGCAGAGCCGCGAGGACCTTCTCGCTCCCGGGAGCCTCCTCCCGGCCCGCGCGCGCCCCCGCGCACACACCCGCTCCGGCGCCCGCGCTCTGGGCGGCCGGGGAGGGAGGGCCGCCCCGTCCCCGCCCCCGATCCGGCGGCCGCCGGTGCAGGCCCCGCCCCGGGCTCCCCCCTCTTTCCCCCCCACCCCACCCCCCACGGCCCGCCACACACGCTCACGCACACCCCACCCCTACCCCGCCACACGCCGGAGTCCCTCCTCCCACCACCCAGTCATCTGCATGGCCACCCCTCTCCGCTCCCCCCCGGAAAAGTCTGCAGCCTCGGCGGCTGGCCCTCCGCCGCCGCTCCCTTCTGCCATCTGCACCGCTTTCCGCTGCCTGCGACCTTCTCCCCGCCCCGGCCTCCCCGGCCCCGGCAGCTGCCCCCCACACCCTCCCCCCAGCACCCCCTCCCGCTGCTCGCCTCCCACCACGATCGCTGCAGAGACCCCTCCTCTTGTAGGCGCGCCCCCAGAGCCAAACGCATTTTCAGCTTTCTAACCGAATGGCTGCTCCCACACAATACGGTCCCCCCTTCCGTGGCTTCACCACCAACCCCCGCTGCTCCCCAATGTATCTGGTCAATAACTTAGTTGTGCAAGAGGGTCACCTCTGTAAGTCAAGCCCCGGTGGAGGGTCGCAGGATAGTCTGGTGATACCCGGAGCCTGGGCGAAGGAGGGGGCTGGCCTCCCACCTTCACCTCCACCACACACACACACACACACACACACACACACACACACACACACACACACACACACCCTCCCGGTTTACTGACGCCAAGTGACCGCTCTCCAGTCGACAGGACGGACAGGGGGAGGCTGAGAGGCGCGTGTGGACGGCTGCTGGGGAAGCAATTGGCTGTGGGTTGCTAGGCAAAAATAAACACCAGACACACCTCTCCTTTCCTTACAACTCCGGAGCCCTTCCCCAGCGCGGCCACAGGCACATGCCTTCCTCTAAGCCCGCCGCAGCAGCAAGGGAGCGACACCTTTAATTCCTCTCATCCCATTCCTTCCAAGACACGTGGACAATTCCCCTGCCTTTTTTAACTTGCTACCTCCAGCCTCTCCTCCGCCTTGCAGACTGAAAAACTGTTCGCCCAACTCACAGGGTACCCCTCTGTAGTGTGTGAGGTTATATATGCCTTTGTCCAGAGGTCACAGGTTTTGTCACTTCAGCCTTTGAGGGGGCTGGGGCGGGGGAGAGCAGGAGATTCCTGGTGACTGGATTAAGAGCTATGCTGTGCATTTCCTTCCTCAGAGATGCCAAGTTTCTGAAGTTCTCCTGGGGACCTGGATCCTTCATGCTCTTTGCCTCGGGCATCTGCCAGCCAGCCAGCCCCTGGATGGACCAAGTTTGCAGGCCTGAACTAGTGCAGATTAAGATCAAAAGAAGGCCACCTCCCGCGGAGTTCCATCATCCCTATTGTTTGCAAATTGTCATAGCAACCTCCCAGAGAGATCACCCTCAGCTTTGTGCAGACGTCAAAAAAAAAAAAAAAAAAAAAAAAGAGTGTATCAAAGATAAAGTGTGGTTCTGTCAGAGTCTCCAGGGCTCCTACAGGGGTATTAAAGATAGGTGGCATTGGCAAAAGGAACAGGTGCAAAAATCCTCTGTGTGATCTAATAAAGTAGAATCACACTGAAATAATCAATCTAATAATATGCCTTTATGATGACCTGATTCAACCCCAGAAAGAAATAATCCCCTTTGCTTATCATCAGGGACTATCGCGTTCAAATCCACTTGGGGAGACATTTAATGTACAGAATTAACTAATGAAAAGATCTACTTAATAGCAGAGTGTAATTCAGAACCCACTTCTTTACTCCCACTGTAATTCCATTACTCTTTCTAATACACCACCTTGGGTGTTTAAGAGCCTCACCTCACTTTTCCTATTTTCTTGTTCAAAACAGTTACTTCCATACCATTTTTCTTTTAAAAAATATTTTTTAATTGAATTTAGATAGAAAGGGACAGGGAGAGAGATAGAAACATCAATGACAAGAGAGAATCATTGACTGGCTGCCTCCTCTACACCCCCAACTGAGATGGAGCCTGCAACACCAGCTGGGCCCATTTACTTATTTTATTTATTTATTTATTTATGTATTATTTATTTATTTATTTTTACTACTGGTGTTCAAAGGAAAAATATTGAAGCAATAATTTAATTTTAATATAACCTGATGCCCCTTCTCACTTAAATTATTCTTACAGTACTTCAATGGGAGTTAAGTATACTAGTGCTTTTTCCATGAATTCATATAATTCTATAAGTTTGTGAATTAAATTGCTCTGTATATTAAACATTGTTGGGTTTGTTCTAGCAATTGAATCAATATCCCTCCCCCAGGAACTGGCTTTTGAGGTTATTTCAGTATATTACCAGGACATTACCTTTTCTGAGACCATATTTCACTTGTGGTGACCACATACCACTCTCTCCCCTCTGGGTATACATAAGGAAGTCTCCATCCAGAAAAAATCGGCCCGCCAACAGTTCTTTAAAAGCTGCTGACTCTTGTCACTGGGGGCTGGAGCCATCCAGGCTCAGCCACCTGGTGTGCGGGTGATCGAATAAATTCATAATCCCTCACCATTCTGGCCTCGTGCGTTCCTTCTTCGGTGACCTAACAAACATGAGGACAAGGAGCTCTGGCTTTTTTGTTTTATAAAGGGACACAAAGAATTATTAACTTTAATTAGGAAATAAAGGATACACATTTAAGGAATTTTTTTCTAGTATATTGGTTTCAAGACATGATAAGTACAATTTTCATTTTATACTTTTGTTTCTGACCCTAAAGAAAATTAGTCTAACTTTTAACTATTTTAATTATAAATGGTACACCTCTCAAGATTAAGTTCTTACTGACTAAATATTAGTATCTACAATTATTTGGATTTCTCTCACGCTGAGAAATATTGATGACCTCAACCAAAATTAATATCAAATAGAAAGATGTACAAATGTACTCTCTGAGCTTCCAAGGAGAATGAGCTGGGTAAATTCAAAGATTTATTACCCTCAAACTTTATTATCCTAATGCATTATATTATTCATTTATACTGTACATTCACCTCTTTATAAAACCCTCCCACAAATATTATTATGGGCAATCTTTTCAATACATAACCGGACCAGAATTTTATCTATGTTAAAAAGTAGCCTCTTCTGATGCCTCATTCAGTTCGTAAGCATCTGCTCTTCAGTTCTTGCCTATTGTAAAAACTCTATCTGTTCTGAAAATCCAGATTCAGATAACAAGCAGGTAGGCAGGATGTGGCAGAACTGGAGATAAAGAAACTTCTGGGAACTCAGAATGGAGCCTTGAGGAAGGAAGTTGATTTTTCACTGGGAAAAGTACTGATCACAGAAAAATCGGAAATGAACAAGAAAGTTGCTGGTTTCAAAATATGTTCAGTCACTTCATTTTTTTATCCCAGAAACATGTACAAAGAATTTATTATGTGCTAGGCTTAGGGGATGTGATGAATCATCAGATGTTGTGGGCTTGGTTTCAGTCTGGCAATCCATTAGGACTTCTTTCTTCAATTAAGCAATAAACAGTAAGCACCTCACATATTTTTGAAATTATTAGTATTGGGGCTACACAGTTAAATGAATAATTCCTGTCTCTGGTCATTGTTACTAGGAAGTGCACAATCCAATAAAGAAGACAAGACATTTCATGACGTGATGGGGCAGAAATCAAGGCATGTAAAAGGCACAATGGTGGCACACAGGAGGGAGTGGTGAGCTCTCTTAAGTGGTGCCTGACATCAAAGGTACTGTGGTTTTTAAAATGCCTGCATGTTTGCTAGTCAGACGAGCCAATCTAGAACTTTCTAGGCAGAATAAGATGAGCAGAGGCAACAAGGTATAAGAAAGTACAGTGCATTCAAGAAGCGTAAGAAATTCAGAATCCAGGAAACTTGAAGTGGGGAGCAGAGGCAAGGGGGAGAGGTGTGGTACTTCTATCTTTACAAGGTCAGGATTACAGATGATGGGTTAAGAGTTATCTGAAACTTTACCAGCTGTGGAAATATAAAAAATAAGGTACAAGGTTGACTCATTTTGGGTAACAGACTTGCGGGTAAGTTGTGTCTAACTTTCCTTAGAAGAACACTTGTTACTGATGGCACCTTCCGTGTGTCCATCACCAAGGTCCAGATCCACCGAGAGAAGAGCATGAACTCAAGGGCCTGAAACTCATGAATATAACCTCCTTAGGTATAGAGGGCATGGGTGCCATAACCAAATGGCCAATAGGTATTCTATTTGCCTGGTGGCCACTGCTGGTGTGTGAAAATCAGAAAATATTCTATACCACTAGAAAGTAGGTAATCTGAAGTTTCTGGTCATGTTGGCCATGTTTTGGTCAGGGTATTTACAGGCCCATTTCCTTAATCCTAGGTGAGGGAGAATGAATGTGTCCCCTAATTTAAGCTAGATATCTGGGAAGATCAGGGGTATTGTCCAGTGTTTCTTGAGAAGAGTTCATCTGCTTTTTCACATGCATCCTAAGGACAGAGTTAATGTAAAACGCAGTAAGCAAGAAGAGAGAGAGAGAGAGAGAGAGAGAGAGAGAGAGAGAGAGAGAGA